ATAAAAATACACAAGAATTAATAAGAAAATTTGGTTAGGTATTGCTACAAGATTCTTGTGCAAGAATCAGTCATTTCCTCTATTTTAATAATAAGCACTGAGTAAAAATAGCATTTACATAAGTGACAAGCATTATAAAGTACAGTACTTAGAAATACATTTTATTTATTTATTCTTTAAAAAATTTTTATTTATTTATTTGGGGGAGAGAGAGAGAGGGAGAGGGAGAGAGAGAGCACAAGAAGGGGGAGGGGCAGAGAGAGAAGGAGAAGCAGGCTCCCCACTGAGCAGGGATTCCCAACTAGGGGCTCGATCCCAGGACCCTGGGATCATGACCTGAGCTGACAGCAGATGCTTAACCAACTGAGCCACCCAGGTGTCCCAGAAATAAGTTTTAGAAGAAAAGCACAGAACTATATGAAGAAAACCACCAAATCTTATTGTATGACATAAAACAAGATTTGAACAAATGGGGAGAAAATGTTTTTAAATGAGAGGACAATATAATAAAAATGTTAGTTTCCCCTAAATTAATATAAATTTGATGAAATTTAGATCAGAACACCAACAGGGCATTTTAAAAAAAATCTCTTTGGGATGGGGTAAAATTATTTTAAAGTTTAAGAATAAGAATAGATGCCTAATAATAGTCAAGAAAAGTTTAACAACATAAACTAGCAAAGGAGGGACTTTCTTATCAGTTATTAGAATACACTGCAAAGCCATTCAAGTCAAAACAATATGGCAGTGGCATAGGAATAAAGAAATAGACACATGGGTCAAAAGGGAGTACAGAAATAGATCTTAGCATATAAAAGAATTTAAAATGCATGAAACTGGTATTTTACCATGTTGGGAGAAGTTAGAATTATTTAATAAATACAAAATCTATAAAAAATCTAGAACTTATACTTGGTGCCTGTATTATACCATATACAAATGTAATTTTAAGATTGTTTAATAATGTAAATGAAGAAAAGAAACCACAATGAAAAATCTGCAAAAGAGAATTGCAGGAAAATAATCTACAATCTAGGGATGGAAAATATCTCAAGTAGGACTAGAAATCCAAAATTTATATTGTATATGTGTGTGTGTATTTTTTTTCTCAAATGGCAATGATCTTAATGAAAGACGGTTGAACTCACAAGCAATCAGGAAATGCAAATTAAAGTAACAGTGAAATATCACTTAGTATCTATCATACTGCAAAAAAAAAAAAAAAAGAAAGAAAGAAAAGAAAAGTAAAGTCAATAACACCTATTTGCGGACAGAGATCCAGGGAAATAAATAGTCTTACATATTATTTATTTCCAAGAAATAAGTAAATTCTCCAACATACACACAACACAGCTATCAAATTCATGAAAATAGCATTGCTCTACTACTACCATTCAATTCAGACTCCTTTCAAGTTTCACAAACTGTCCCAATAATGTTCTTTTATTTGTTTGTTTGTTTATTTATTTATTTATTTTTAAAGATGTATTTATTTATTTGAGAGAGGGAGAGAGAGAGAGAAGTGGGGAGGGGCAGAGGGAGAGGGAGAGAGAGATCTTAAGCAGACTCCGAGCTGAGTGTGGAGCCGGACAAAGGGCTTGCTCTCTCGACCCTGAGATCATGACCTGAGCTGAAACCAAGAGTCAGCCACTTAGCTGACTGTGCCCCCCAGATACCCCCCAGTAATGTTCTGTTATAAAAAAAGGTCCTGTGTGTGCTGCATTCAATGGTCATGTCTCTTGGCAGTTGACCCTTAAACAATGCAGGGGTTAGGCACGCCGACCCCTGTGCAGTTGAAAATCCATGTACAGCTTTGGACTTCCCCCAAACTTAACTTCTAATAGCCTACGGTTAACTGGTAGCCTTACCGATAACATAAACAGTTACTAGGGCGTATTTTCTATGTCATATGTATTATATACTGTATTCTTACAATAAACTAGAGAAAAGAAAATGTTACTGAGCAAATCATAAGGAAAATACATTTATAGGACTATACTGTATTTATTGAAAAAAAAAATCCATGTATAAATGGACCAGCACAGTTTAAATCTGTGTTGTTCAAGGGTCAGCTATAGTCTTGAATGGTTCTTTAGTTTTTCCTTGACTTTCATATTCTTGGTACTTTTGAAGATTACAGGCCAGGTTTTTTGTTTTGTTTTGTTTGTTTTTGTAGACCGTCCTTCAGTTTGGATTTGTCTGATGTTTCTTCATGATTACATTCAGGTTATGCACCTTTGGCGGGAACAGCACTGAATTGGTGTTGTGTTCTCTTTTGGGTTCTGCCTGGTGGCACGTGCCTCATACTTGCCCTGTTACTAATTTTGTAAACTTTGATTGTGTGATTAATGTGTTGTCTGCCCCACTTGTTCACTGTGAAGTTATTCTTTCTCCCGTTTTATTTGATAAATATTTTTGGGAGATACTTTGAAGCTATGCAAACAGTTCATTTCCCCTCAAACATTCAATTTACTTATTTGTTTACATCAGTATGGAGTCATGTTGCCAAATTTATTAAGTGAGATATAATTTTCCCTATCATTAGTTATTTCAACATCCAAATGTGCCAGTTGGTCAGTGGAAGCCCTCTGAAGATAGCTTATGTGTTCTTTCAACACGTTCCCATCATTCTTTGAATCCTTACTTACCCTCTGGCACAACAATATGATCTAGGGTCAACTTTGTATTTACCTTGTCCCAGCCTGAATTAGCCATTGCTCCAAAAAGATCTGGTTCCTTCTGCTGGAGAATGGTATTATCTGAATGCTAGGTGTGCCCATTGATTTTGGGGGTATCGCTGCTTCTTGCCCAGTTAATGGACACTTTAGGGGATATTTGTATTTCCTGCTCTTGCTCGCTTTCTCTCTCTTTCTCTCACAGACTCACACATGTCTATTAATTTCTGAACTTATAAATTGAAAACCATGACTTTGCACCAATATCTTAATTTCCAATCCAACCTAACAGGTATAATCTAGGTTTTTTTTCCCCTTCCCATCATCATTTGAAAGTTTAATTATTTAAATTAATTTTACACTTGTTTATTTTTGTGAATTTTGAATAATACATTTTAAATTTTATCCTGTTTCAGTCAACATTTGCCATCTTCGGAGAGACTGAAACAAAATTTATTTTAAATTAAGTATCACTCAAAGTATGCAAATCAAAATAAGTATAGAAGAAATTTTAATACTCAATATTCAAATTAATTTGTTATGTTTGTAGAATTTATGGTTCTGAAATTATTAAAGCTTAAAATTGCATGAAGACTTTTGGGACACCCTTTATTTACTTATTTGATTAATCCCCTGTATACAGTCAATTTCTCATCCCTGCCAGCATCCCCTCCCCTGTGTGGCCCTCACTGTACCCTTTCTTTCTTTCTTCCTTCCTTTCTTTTTTTCCTTAAAGATTGTATTTATTTATTTGAGAGAGGGAGACAGCGTGAGATAGAGGAGAGAGAGAGAGAGAGTGTGTGAGCATGAGCAGGGGGGAAGAGCAGAAGCAGAGGGAGAAGCAGGCTTCACACTGAGCGGGGAGCCCGATGCAGGACTCGATCCCAGGACTCTGGGATCATGACCTGAGCCGAAGGCAGATGCTTAACGACTGAGCCACCCAGGCGCCCCTGTGCTCATTCTTTCAAACTCCCATGCCAGCTGTCCCTTCCACAGGGATGACTTGCCCACCTGCTAGGGCTCTTGACTCCCTGTGACATTGGGTGGAGGTCACCTCTTACCCAGCATGGATAGGTTGGGGCCACTCCTGTGTGTGGACGCTCTTCTTATATTTCTACTCTAAGCTCTTGGCTGCCCTGGTTTACCGTCTCCCCATTCAGAGGGCGTGGATGCCTACCTATCTTAGAATTGGGCTCATCTGATACATTTAGGATTGAATTGTTCAGGAAAGGAAGAGGGAGAAGGGAAATAGTTAATTTGTTTTTAATCTTCTTTCAATATATTCAAAGATACAAATTTCCCTCTACATATTATTTAAGTGCATCTCGCAGATTTTAATATATAGTATTTTCATTGTCATTTAGTTCAAATAGCTTATAATTTCCCTCATGATTTTCTGTTTAACCCAAGTGTTATTCATTTATTTAAATAAGACAAGACTTTCAATCAAACTCTAAAATGGAAATCTAAAAGCCATTTTACTTGTTTTCTCTAGGCATTTTAAGTGCCAATGATCTCTTTCTGGCTTAACAAAGAAAGTCAACAAGTGTATCTTAAAGATGCCATATTAAATATTATCACCAGGGCAACACATTGTAAAACAGCCAATCAGCATTGTAAGCCTCTTAGTGATGAGCAACTATTTCCCCAGGATATAACAACGGTTTCTGAAATCTGGATGTCTTACAAATCTTTGTTAGATTTAAAGTTGTCAGGTCAGTTTTCTGATGCAGAATATTCTGTGCTTTTCTGGCAGCTTCAGGGGGAAGTGGCGATATTTGCTTCTTATCTTGCAAAGACTTTGTCACCAGAGTTAGAAGAGTCTCTAGGCTTTCAAGGCTAAATGTTAAAATGTATGAAAAGAAAAAGAGGCAGCTCTGAAAAGCCCCAAACTCAGTTTGGAATGGGTTATATACATTTTGCATGTATTTTTAGTAACATGCTTTTCAGTTTGAGTTTGGGAATTAAATGTGCTACCCTTTTGCTCTTTCTTTTTCTACTTAGGTTATCAGTTTCTGAAAATGGTAACTTAAAAATTTCCAAGTAGAAGATTAATTTATTTCATTGTTCTGTCAGTTATTCATATATTTTAAAGCCTACATTATTAAGTATATATATATATATATATATATATATATATATATATATATATGTTCATGATCATTACATCTTCATCTCTTGTTCCTAGTGCCAATATGTCATACCCCTCCTTATCCCATATGATGTTTTTCATTTTATATATCCTTTCTTAGTCTAGTTTTAAGATTGCTATACTGACTTCTTCTGGTTTATATCTAATTAGTTTGTCTTTTTTCACCCCTTTAGGAAGATAGATTTAAAAGAGTATTTTTTAACTCACCACTTGCCTCAAGAACTCAAACAGTAACAATTTATCTGCCTATGTGCTTCTGTTCACTGCTCCTCCACCCATTTGCCTATTTTTCCCAAAGGTAAGAGCTATCCTATATTTTGTGTTTATCATTGCCTTGCTTTAAAAAATTGTTTTATCATAAATACCCACACACATACATATAGGTATCAATTATATGTAAACAACACATTGTTTTTCATTAGCTGGTTTTAAACTTCTAAAGAGTGTCCATGCCATGTGTAAGTCTTTATGGACTTGCTTTTATCGCTTAACATTATGCTCCTTGTATTCATCCATGTTCTGTGGGATTGCAGTTCGTTCATGTTTACCTCTATAAAGTATTTCATGATTCGAACATATCATGCTATCAAAGGATTTTAACTTTTTCGCTATTACAAACAGTGCCACCGTGAACATTCCTGAACCTCTCCTAGTGCTCAGGGGCAAGAGTTTCTTTTGGGCATACACTTAAGAATGGAATTGCTCAAGCATAGGCTATGCAAATGTTCAACTTGACAAGCGAATTTTATTTTATTCTTTATCATCTATCTATCATCCGTGTGCATGAAAAAGGTTGTATATAATCACCTTATTTTCAATCATTCCACATAATTTTAAGGGTAGCTCTTCTAAGCAACAGTTATTGGATTTTTTGTTTTGTTTTGTTTTCTTCATCCAAACCAAGAGTTTAATTACCTGTTATAATTACTGTTATTTAGAATTTATTCTTGCTATTTTATTTCATGTTTTCACTATTTTTAATTTTACTCTTTTTGATAAGTACATAAGGATATCTGATTGTGGTTTCAGTTTGCATTTTCTTAATGGCTAATGATATATTTTTTTACTTAAATTTTAATTAGTTAACATACAGTGCAATATTGGCTTCTGGAGGAGAATTCAATGATTCATCACTTACATACAACAGCCAGTGCTCATCACAACAATGCTCTCCTTAATACCGATCCCCCATCTAGCCCATCCCCCACCCACCTCCCTCCATCAACCCTCACTTTGGTCTCTATTGTTAAGAGTCTCTTATAGTTTGTTTCCCTCTCTCCTTTCCCCCTTCTCTTATGTTCATCTGTTTTCTTTCTTAAATTCCACATAAGAGTGAGTGCATATGGTATTTGTCTTTCTCTGACTGACTTATTTCACTTAGCATAATATATATACTCTAGCTCTATCCATGTCATTGCAAATGGCAAGATTTCATTCTTTTTGATGGCTGAGTAATATTCCACTGTGTGTGTGTGTGTGTGTGTGTAGACATCTTTATCCATTGATCAGTCAATGGACATTTGGGCTCTCTCCATAGTTTGGCTATTGTTGATAATGCTGCTAAAAAATATTGGGGTGCTTGTACCCCTTTGAATCTGTATTTTTGAATCCTTTGGGTAAATGCCTACTAATGCAATTGCTGGATTGTAGGGTAGTTCTATTTTTAACTTTTTGAGGAACCTCCATACTGTTTTCCAGAGTGGCTGCACCAGTTTGCATTCCCACCAGCAGTGCAAGAGGGTTCCCCTTTCTCCTCATCCTCACCAACACCTGTTATTTCTTATGTTGTTAATTTTGCTATTCTGACAGGTGTGAGGAGATATCTCATGGTGGTGAGTGATGTTAAGCATCTTTTCATGTGTCTGTTAGCCATCTGGATGTCTTCTTTGGAAAAATGTCTATTCATGTCTTCTGCCTATTTCTTAACTGGATTATTTGTTTTTTGAGTGTTGAGTTTGATAAGTTCTTTATAGATTTTGGATACTAACCCTTTATCAGATATTTCATTTGAAAATGTCTTCTCCCATTCCATAGGTTGCCTTTTAGTTTTGTTGATTGTTTCCTTCACTGTGCAGATGCTTTTTATCTTGATGAAGTCCCAATAGTTCATTTTTGAACTATTCATTTTGTTTCCCTTGCCTCCAGCGACATGTCTAGTAAGAGGGTGCTGTGGCCAAGATCAAAGAGGTTGCTGCCTGTGTTCTCCTCTAGGATTTTAGTGATTTCCTGTCTCACATTTAGGTCTTTCATCCATTTTGAACTTATTTTTGTATATGGTGTAAGAAAGTGGTCCAGTTTCATTTTTCTGTGTGTTGCTGTCCGGTTTTCCCAACACCATTTGTGGAAGAGTCTGTCTTTTTTCCTATTGGATATTCTTTCCTGCTTTGTTGAAGATTAGTTGACCATGTAGTTGTGGGTCCATTTCTGGGTTCTCTATTTTGTTCCATTGATCTATGTGTCTATTTTTGTGCCAGTACCATACTGTCTTGATGACTACAGCTTTGTAATACAGCTTGAAATCTGAATTGTGATGCCTCCAGTTATTTCTTTTTCAAGATTGCTTTGGCTGTTTGGAGTCTTTTGTAGTTCCATACAAATTTTAGGATTGTTTGTTCTGGCTCTTGAAAAATGCTGGTGGTATTTTTGTTGTTGTTGTTGTTAGATTTTATTTATTTATTTGGGGGAGAGAGAGAGTGAGAGTGAGAGCACGAGTCAATGGGGGAGGGGCAGAGGCAGAGGAAGAAACAGACTTCCCGCTGAGCAGGTTGCCGAACATGGGCCTCGGTCCCAGGATCCTGAGATCATGACCTGAGCTGAAGGCAGACACTTAACTGACTGAGCTACCCAGATGCCCTGCTGGTGGTATTTTGATAGGGATTGCATTAAATGTGTAGATTGCTTTGGGTAGTATAGACATTTAACAATATTTGTTCCAATTCATGAGCATGGGATGCTTTTCCATTTCTTTGTGTCATGTTCAATTTCTTTCATAAGTGTTCTATAGTTTTCAGAATATAGATCTTATACCTCTTTAGTTTGGTTTATTTGTAGGTATCTTAATTGTTTTTGGTGCAATTGCAAATGGGATTGATTCCTTGATTTCTTTTTCTGCTGCTTCATTATTGGTGTATAGACATGAACAGATTTCTGTATGTTGATTTTATATCCTGCAATTTTGCTGAATTCATATATGAGTTCTAGCAATTTTTTGGTGGAGTCTTTCAGGTTTTCTACATAGAGTATCATGTCATCTGTGAATAGTGAAAGTTTGATTTCTTCCTTGCTGATTTGGATGCCTTTTATTTCTTTTCATTGTCTGACTGCTGAGGCTAGGACTTCTAGTACTATGTTAAATAGTAATGGTGAGAGTGGACATCCTTGTCTTGTTCCTGACTGTAGGGGGAAAGGCTCTCGGTTTTTCCATATTGAGGATGACGTTAACTGTGGGTCTTTCATATATGGCCATTATGATGTTGAGGTATGTTCTATCTATCCCTACTTTGTTGAGGGTTTTTCTAAAAAATGGATGCTGTATTTTGTCAGATGGTTTTTCTGCATCTATTGAGAGGATCATATAGTTCTTATCCTTTTTTTTTTATTAATGTGGTGTATCACATCGATTGATTTGTGAATATCGAACCACCCCTACAGGCCAGGAATAAATCCCACTTGATAATACTTTTTATGTACTGTTGAATTCAATTTGCTAGTATTTTACTGAGATTTTTTCATACACGTTCATCAGGGGTATTGGCCTGTAATTCTCCTTTTTAGTGGGGTCTTCATCTGGTTTTGGAATCAAGGTAATGTCAGCTTCGTAAAATGAGTTTGGAAGTTTTCCTTCCGTTTGTATTTTTTGGAATAGTTTGAGGAGAATAGGTACTAACTCTTTAAATGTCTGGTAGAATTCCCCTGGGAAGACATCCCATCCAGGACTTTTGTTTTTTTTCAGAGTTTTTTGATTACTGATTCGATTTCTTTGCTGATTATGGGTCTGTTCAAATTTTCTATTTCTTCCTGTTTCAGTTTTCAGTTTTGGTAGTTTGTAAGTTTCTAGGAATTTGTCCATTTCTTCCAGATTGCCCAGTTTGTTGGCATATAATTTTTCATAGCATTCTCTTATAATTGTATTTCTGTGGTGCTGGTTGTGATCTCTCCTCTTTCATTCATGATTTTACCTATTTGGGTTCTTTCTCTTTTCTTTTTTAAATTAAATTTAAATTTATTTATTTGAGAGAGAGAGAGAGAAAGCACACATGCACGCATGTGAGCAGGGGAGGGACAGAGGGAGAAGAAGAGAGACAAGCAGACTCTGCACTGAGCGCCGAGGCCCATGTGGGGCCCCATCCACGACCCTGAGATCATGACCTAAGCTGAAATCAAGAGTCAGATGCCCAACCAACTGAGCCACCCAGGTGCCTCTCTCTTTTCTTTTTGATAAGTCTGGCTAGGGGTTTATCAATTTTATTAATTCTTTTGAAGAACCAGCTCTTAGTTTTGTTGATCTGTTCTACTGTTTTTTTGTTTGTTTGTTTCTGTATTATTTATTTCTGCTCTAATCTTTATTATTTCCCTTTTTCTGCTGGCTTTAGGCTTTATTTGCTGTTCCTTTTCTAGCTCCTTTAGGTGTAATGTAGGTTATGTATTTGAGACTTTTCTTGCTTCTTGAGGTAGGCCTGTACTGAAATATATTTCCCTCTTAGGACTGTCTTTGCTGTATCTGAAAGGTTTTGGACTGTCGTGTTTTCATTTTCATTTGCTTCCATGTATTTCTTTATTTCTTCTTTAGTTTCCTGGTTAGCCCATTCATTCTTTAGAAGGATGTTCTTTAACCTCCATGTATTTTTGGTCTTTCCAAATTTTTTCTTATGGTTGATTTCAAGTTGCATAGCATTGTGGTCTGATAATATGCATGGTATGATCTCAATCTTTTTGTATTTGTTAAGGCCTGATTTGTGACCCAGGATGTGATCTATTCTATTTTTGTGTGTATTAAAAAACAATGTGTATTCTGCTGTTTTAGGATGAAATGTTATGAATATATCTGTTAAGTCCATCTGGTCCAGTGTGTCATTCAAAGCCATTATTTCCTTGTTGATTTTCTGCTTAGATGATCTATCCATTGCTGTAAGTGGGGTGTTAAAGTCCCCTACTATTATTGTATTATTATCCATGAGTTTCTTTATGTTTATTATAAATTGATTTATATATTTCGGTGCTCCCAAGTTGGGGCATAAATATTTACAATTGTTAGATCTTTTTGATGGATAGACCCCTTAATTACAATATAATGCCCTT